CGTATTCTTCTTCATGGAAAAATAAGACATCCCCTGAAAATAAGACCTAGCGCATCTTTGAGAGCAAAAATTAATATAAGACACTGTCTTATTTTCGGGGAAACAGGGTATATTAAATCATGTGCTGAGTCACTTTTCCCTATACCTGATTAATCCATAATCTCCTATAAACCATGAATCTGAATTCTGCCAACTACTCTCGCTCTTAGGAGAGTTCCCCTTATATGTTGTCACAACTGCTTAAGATCTGCTTTTTTATTTTTTCATTTCTTGTATGTTAAGCCCTCTTCATTATTTGTAGCCTCCCATCATCATATACAAAACATTTATAGTTCTTGTTTCTGCCCTTTATTTTAAAAAAAAAAAGGAATCAAAGCCTGATTGGATTGAAAATTTAGGAAATTATGTATCTACTTGGTGCCCAAACTCTTTCTCTCTCCATAAAATCCATTGCCTGTTCTGTCCCCAAATCAGTTTTAGGTTTGTGCAAGTTTACACATTCTTACATGCTCATTAACAATTCTGAAAAGCATTACTTTATATACCATTCAAGCACCTAATACCAGGGTTGTAACTTACTAGTTGCTGAGCTTGCTTTCACTTGCTCTTTCCCAAATAAAATGGAGAGCCAGATCATAGGAAAATTTAAGCCAAGAAGTTAGTTTATTTAAGTAGTTTGGGGGGTTGGCATTGAGATGTTACAGAATATTGGCGGTGAGCTCTTTGACAAGCCCAGTCTTAGGAATGGAAAGGGAATAAAGGCTTGTCCGGTGTGTCTTCACAGTAACAACTGCACTGAGTCACTGAGACACGCCTGCCAGAACCTGTGCCGGGTCTGAGCTTCGCAGAACGGCTGCCAGAAGAATGCATTTGTGCGAGGGGTTTGAGGATTGTAACCTCTTAAGTCGAAAGTTTGCCTAACCAGCAGTGGTTAAACCTACGTGGTAGTTCAAAGAGTTGCATTACCAGAGCACTTGGCCGCTTTTGAACGGTGCCAAGGTAGGCCCGTATGGTGCGTGTGCTCTGAAATTCCTGCTTTCTCTTAGAGGTTGAAAGTGAAATTACAGTAGTTGTTTGACCAATTTAAAAAGTACGTAAGGTTTAAAGTTTATTGATTTTCATAAAGGAAAAATACTATACTTTATTCCCACAGGATAGTTGTTTTATTAAATTGTCCTTTTTTTTCGTAAAGGTTCTTAATTAATCCTCCTGAAAAACCTGCAGTCACCACAGATAAAGTCCCTGAAGAATCTTCGCTCCTTCTGTTGTCATGTCTTGCAAGTCTATATGTGGGCTCATTTTTCTTTGCCTAATCTAAGGAATCATAAGTGGTGCCAAAGCCAGTTGTGTCACCACCACCAAAATGGGTTCTGAATCAAAACACAAAGAGGACATCTGCTGGTCTTGTACATTTTGGCCAATTTTTCCCGAATTTCTGTCTTGGGTACTGTTTGTTGCCTTCCCAGGGTGAGGACACCGATGACCATTTGTTTTCACTGAAGTAGTCGTTGGCCATGAGTTTCCTGATCTGGATAGTTACTGTGTTGTTCTTGGTGGAGGTTGATCTTCAAGCAGTCAGGGAGGAAAATCCTTTCTCTCTGTCTTGATATTTTCTTTTAAATAGAACTCTTCTCTCTGTGGGCACCGGAACTTAGATTCCATTGCACCAGTTAGTTTTTCTAGCTGTTGGGTTCTACGTGAGCTAGAGCAAGTGGGTTGGATCCAATGGAATCGCTTTTGCATCCTCTCTCCAGCATGTACCAGTTTCTTGTCCTTTTCAGTGGCAGCTCCATGCTGGTTCTTCATCCTTGGACGGTGAGGAGATCAAAGTCAGTCTACAGGGTTGTGGGTGAAGGGAGTGCCTGTAAGTCCTGATCACAGTGGAGGTGCAGTATGTGGTACTGTTACTCATTAAAAAAAGGGGTGCTATTCATGCAGCCAGCTTTTTAGATAGCCAACCTGCCACGCTCCAGATGTAGAATTTATAAAAATACCAATGACTTGGTCCTGCCCCAGAAAACCTCATAGTTGAGTACATCCTTTGGGCATGTATTCTCTTGACCCAGATTTTATTGGTGTGAATGGGATTGGTTCTCAGAGATTTAATTCTTTTTAATGAGTATAAAGGTGCTCACCCAGGTGTGCTCTAATTAATTTTGTTATTCTTCACATTCATTGGCCAGTTCTTTCACATATAATTTGTGAAGTATAATATGGGATGGTATACTAATATCAGTATTCTTGACCTCAGATATAATTGTGGGACAGTAGAGGCTTTAGCAGCTGATTTCTTTGAATTTTTCCCTTATCTCTAAAAAATAAAACCTTTACCTGTTGTCGAGTTACATTTTCCCCAACTGTACAGATTAAAAAAAAAAAAAAAATCACAGTGGCATTTGTGATTAATTTTCTAGTTAATGGCTTTTAAGTAACTTTTCTTAACTGGAGATGTAATACTTGATTGTTATCAAAACTTTAGAAATTGTTTTTCTTCCACCGACTAAGAGCATACTTCTTATGTTAAGCTACTCATCTCCGATGATGTAAATGTGGTTTCTAGAAGGTTCTGTGGTGACTTTTGGCTGAATTGGCAAATGCTGACAGTATGCTATGTGTGCTGATTCTCACATCAGATAAATTACACCCGTGGATTTTAATTAAATGAGATGCCCTTTGTAAATAAATCCCTAGTAATTGATAGACCTTGTTGGATCTTACTGGTTCATCATTGCTTTTTGAATGAGTGTTTCTTTGGAGATACCTTTAGCAATCTTCCTACCGTGGTCACTGTCCTTCCATGCTTAGGTCCTGAGTAAGTTTCGTGTCTGCAAGCTGGTTTTGCAGTTGTCTGTCTAACGCTCTGAAGGAGGTAATTTCAGAATCTGGCACAGCATTTTCTATGGTCCCTTTTATTCCTTAACCACAAGCAAAGCTGAAAATCATAACCTACACTTTCTGACTTAGTACATCATACGTACTTTCTAATTGACTCTAGGGGAATATATTCATGGAAGCTGGGCATTCAGTAGTTGGCAAACAACTGACGGGGTATTTAGTCCTCTGCTCACGGCAGGAAGCATGGTTGCATTACATGGTCATTGACGTTTCAGAGAATTAAGACAAATCAATTTTATACAAAATAAACCCAATGACTAAGAAACAAAGAGATTCATTAAGAAACTTATCACAGGATGGTTTTGTTGTTGATAGTTAATATTGAATATAATTTGTCAGATTTTTTTCCTCACATTTATTCCAAAGATAGGTCTTTTATTTTTTTGCTTGTGTGTACCCCATCTAAGCCACCATTCAGCAATAAGCCTGTTGAATAACTTTTTCTTATATACCATTATGACTGCTCCTGCCAAGTCCTATATCTGAGGGCTGTGTTGTCTAGCCTGGCTAACATCGGAATTTAGCTTTCTTTAGATAACTATTGAGTGAGATCTCTATTTACAAGTTAACAGTTTTCATGTTTTTCAGAAACTTATCACAGGATGTTGTTAGTACATTTGGTGGTGAAAAGGCTTCCTTGGCAAGAATTACACTGTTGCATGTAGGTGGTCAGTATGAAAGAGCCAAGTTTTAGCATTTGTTTTCATTAGGAAATACAGTGATTATACCGAGGATTCCCAAAATAAAAATTGTTGGTGAGGTTATTGAAGAGGTATTTTTAGAAATACTAAAGGATTGTAATCTCTAATATAATTTGCTTTTTGGAATATAAATAATACTTAAGCATACTTGGGGTTTTTTTGGTTTTTGTTTTTCACTATAACATTTCCTCAAATAGTCATGCTCATAAATTGGGTGGAGGAAGTAGAGAGAGTTTTTACTGATTCATTCCTTCAATATTTGGGCATCTCCACGGAAGAAGGTAAAGGGGAAGAGATAAAAAGTGATTAAGATTTGCATACATGTACAGATTGGAAAATATTCACTTTTAATGTGTAGCTTCATCATAAACCACACTGCCTAGAGATGACTATTAATATAACTGAAGCAGTGGGCTGAATTTTTATGTTTATCAGAATGAGAGCTGTAGTTAAACATGTTCTAAACAACATTATTTGTATTACTACTTTTTCCACTGATCATTGTTCAAGCAAATGTAAGATAATCTTTTTGTGGGCATGAACAATGGAGTTCAATATTAATAATGACCTTTGAACAAAAAATGTAGGATAAGGGCATTCTTTGGTGACTGTTGCCTTGATAGCTTCATACATCTTACTCTGCATTTATTTAATTCAGATATAGTTCTTTTTAAAGTAGTTTTTGTTTTCATTGATTGTAGAGAGATGAAGGGAGAGAGACAGAGAGACATGGATGTGAGAAGAGAAATATCACCTTGACTGGTTGCCTCCCATACACATCCTAAATGGGGATCGAACCAGCAACCTGAGTATGTGCCCCACTGGGAACCAAACCCACCACCTTTTGGTGCACTAGGCGATGCTTCAAACAACTGAGCCACACTGGCCAGGGCTCCATATATAGTACTTTTTATAGCACTGTTTTAAGCATTCATCTGCAAATATTTATTCATCTACTCTGAACTCATTTAATGGTTGATCATTTATTCTAGCTGTTAGAAAATATAGAAGGAAATAATTTGAATATATCCTGTCTTTCTCCTCCCTCCCTTTATTCCTCCCTCCCTCGTTCCTTCTTTCCTTCCTCCCTCCCTCCCTTCCATCCCATGTACCTTCCATCCTATGGACCTGGAACTACCTTATGGGGCTGGCAACAACTCCCTGTCGCATGGTAGTTTTGCTCAGACATGGGAAAGATTCCGTTTTGAGATAGTAAGGACCTTGGACTGAACTGCTTTGTGTTACGATTGTAAAACGTACATTTCCATGAAATAAAGTATTGGATTAATAAATAAAACCTACCCCACCCCCATTTTAATCAGTCAGCATATTTTCTATTTACATGATAAAGGAGTTGTTTGAAATCATTGTAAATCTGCCCTGTGTGTGCCCCTCCCCTTCCAGCATGCTTGAAGATGACCTGCAACTCAGTGACAGTGAGGACAGTGAGAGCGAGCAAGTAAGTTGTGTGTATCCCATAACTCCCCCGAGTCCTTTGAAATCTGTCTAACTTTTCTGACCTGCTTATCCTAACCTGTTTTGTTTTGTTTTTTTTCTTTTCCTCGTCCTCCTCCCCCTTGTTGTGAATGCCTAGACCCCAGAGAAGCCTCCTTCCACATCTGCACCGCCAAGGTACCGTGTGCGGGTTTCTCCATCTACACCAACGTTTGAAGTTTTCTACCGGGGGGGGGGGGGGGCGATTATAGCCTTAGCACTTCCGTAACTTCTTCATGGGGAGGAGAAGAGTATCACAGTTAAAAGGAAGGAAGTACCTGTTCACTGTTTTGGAAGTTTCACTCAGCCTTAGAGAGGTTAACTTTATAAAAGGAAAGAGCACTATCGGTGTAGGAGAAAAAAATTTTGAGAGTTTAAAATAAGCCTGAATCACTTTCCTCAGTATTATGTAACCAGTATTTGAAAAGTTATGCCGAAGAGCCCAGTGTTTCTGTGAAAGTAACAGATTTGCTGTATTTTTAACAATTATAAAGCCAAATTTTCCATGGTGGCTGTTTTGTTAGTCATGAGTTTTCTAATTGTTTCTGTGGCTTTTTAAAATGGCCTGCAGTGCATTTCAGTGAGGTGGGAAATGGCACTGTTTTCATTTTGGAAACAGCTTGGCGATATTTTAGAAAACACGCTTTAATTTTTGGAAATGGAAACGAAACCACCTCTGGTATTGAATTTAGTAATTCAGTATGCCAATACCTGACCTCCACGGACAGGGAAGAGTTAAATTACACTGTAGCTGTTTCACTCCCTTGAGATGTGGTCATCCATTCAGAGGCAGGCTCAGCAATGGAAACCTTCCTCACGTACGATTGACGTGATGGTTAACGTGGAGGAAGCTCGTAAAGTTTTGCAAGGTCTTACAGAGTCATAAACTCTGCTCATTTATTTATACTTCATTTTGTTCAGTAACTTCTAGTGGCTTATAATGACTCATAAAATATGACAAGCTAGCCTAACTTAGAGAGAAGGAAAAGGAAATAGAAAAAAACAAAATGGGGAAAAATCAGAGGCAGAAATAACGCAAAAGTGTCTCATTCTGGTCGTCTGTGGCTTAAGCTCTTCAGCTCCACAGTGAAAATGATCACAAACCTGACGCCACATTTTATCTGTTGAAATTTTCATAGTATAGTGTGTTTGCTTTAAAATGACCTCAAATGGTGGTTTTGTTATAATTTTAAATTCTACTTTAATATAATTTTATTTAATAAATTTATTATTTAATGTTTTAGGTAGATTTGGAGGCTTTCAATAGTATAGATATTGATGTATTTGCTTTGGCTAATTTCATTAAAACTGCAAGTTTTAAGATACGTTTTGAAATTCTGTATATGCCCAGCAGTGTTTTCTCATTCACCCAGAGCTATTGTCCTATTCGTAAAACTTGTAGTAGTTAATCTCTCCTTCAGCTGATAGTTGGAGGTCATCCTAAACCGCTTATAAACAATGGCCTACTTCATAATTCTGCCCTAATGTGTCAGGCTTGCTTTTGAAGTCGCTTTCTAAAGGAAAACCATATACATTTAGTAGTCTTTGGCTCTCACACAGTTAGTTCTCATCTAGACAGTAGAGAGATTTTAATGTATTAGCTGTTCTTACATAAATGAACTTTTTTGGGATATCTGTATATATATCTATATCTATCTATCTATATATATATCAGGAGTCAACAAACTTAAAAAGTTCAGAAAGTAAATAGTTTAGGCTTTGTGGGCCATACAGTCTGTGTTAAAGCTAGTCAGCTTTGCTTTTACAGTATAAAAGCAGACAGATAATACAGAAGATAATGAGTGGATGTATTCCAATAAAACTTTATTTAGAAAAACAGGCAGTCGGCTCAGTCCATAGTTTATCAACCCCTGACATAAAGCACCACACATCTATGTTAAATCAGTTTAATTTGAAATGCTTTCAGAAGCAAAATTCCACAGGCTTCTCTTTTACGTTGTCATCTAATAAGCTATTTTAAGTTTTGTGGGGGGTTTTTTGGTTGATTTTTTGAGTCATTGTTGGCCTTTCAACTGGATGATATGGAAATTTACTAATGTTGGGTAATACTGAGGCCCTTTCCTTTGAGTACCAGAAAAATGGGCAACGCAGGACATGAGTGGGAAGGGGATCCACCTTGCGTGGTGCCTTCAGACGATCTCTTGGTTGCCTTGCAGCGCTCCGCAGTCACTTCCAGAAGCAGCAGCAGCGGCCTCAGCACATTCCAGTGGTGCGGAGTCAGAGAGCACCAGTGACTCAGACAGCTCCTCGGACTCGGAGAGCGAGAGCAGCTCAAGTGACAGCGAGGAGAATGAGCCCCAGGACACTCCGGCTCCCGAGGTACCGTGTCCCCAGGAGACTGTCCCAGACGGCAGCATTGGGGGCTGGAGGCGGCCGTAGGCCAGGCCAGGAGACTGGGCGGCTCTGTCCCCTGGGGCAGTGCTTCCCTGCTCCTGCTTGTGTAGAACTGGCTGTTTCTTTTACTTGTTTCTTACCAGACATTTGGCGGTGGAGGTTTGGGAGAGAGGTCTTCTCTCTTCTGTTTAAAGCGATAGGTTCTTCTCTGTTATTGCTAGTGTGTTTTGAAGAGCAACTCACTAAGGGTGTTTGCACACTCTTTTCTCTTCTCTTCTCTTGAAAAGGAAAACTCATTTTTAGTGGGCCCCTGTTTTAATATGAATGAGATATCTTTTTGAAATTTCAGGAATGCATGAATTAAGGAAATCAAAAGGAGACAGTGTGCTTTAGCAAAGGGCAGGAGCATGAACTAGAAATAAGTCATCAGAGGTTCTATTTTTGAATCACTAAAAGCCATGCATTAAATGGATGGTGACACGACTTTGCCAGGGCTGTGTTTCTGCGCCCTCTGCCCCATGTGAAACAGGGACAACTGTGTCCGCCTGCCGCCACCCCCTGGGAAATATTGTAAAGATAAACAGACGAGGTTGAAAAAAATCTCAAACACCACATGTATCTAGAGGATATATGCTGCCTCCTGGATTGTCCAGCACAAGAATTTTAGTAACAATTAATGAGGTTGCCAAATGCCCCCAAAACTTGGGAGTGGCAATATAAAAATCATGCCGGGGAAGGACGCTTAGAGGACAGGGAGGAAATTTTGGAAGACCAGCTTGTAGAGAGAGAATGATTCTGTATATTTCAGATGGGAACTCTGAGAAATTAGACTTTCTACTTAAGGAAGTGTTGAGGTTCTCAGTATCTGTGTCCGCTGTTTGGAAAGCAAGACAGTTAGTTCCACGACCGAACTAACGAATCCGTCTGAAGACCATGGAGCGAGAGCCACGTCTGAGGGCACGGGAGGCTGAGTCCGCTCCCGGCTGCCCTTCCCGTTAGACGTGAGTGTGCGTCTGGCGCAGAGTGAGTGCTCCACGAGTGTGTGTGGGAGAGCGTAAACGCAGATCCGCAGGAACTGCACTTGGAGAGCCTTAGAGGTTTTAGAAGCCACTCTCTGTTTCAGGGGGTTGTGTTTCCTTGTGAGATCTAGTTACCGTTGAGGTGATGTTCCTGTGCCCAGGGAAAAAGATACTGAATATGCTCTGCAGGCAAACTACGTGGTTGTTCATGCTAATGTTGGAAGATCTTTGCTTTGGGTCTTACCTTGTTCAATAAGAAAAATCTGTGTGCTCATTACGTTACTGATAGTACAGAACTCATTTAAGTAGTAAAATTTGATTCAAATAAAGTACAAATGGCACAGATTTGACTGAATAGTTAAAATTTTAAAAAAAGAGTAGTCTAGTATTTGATTTCATGAAACAATTACATTTTGTGCTCAAGTGGTTACTGAAATAGTTGCCTTAGATTAAAAAAAATTAATGTTCCCACCCTAACTTATTATAGTTATTTATTTATTAAAATGTTAGTTCATGTCTCCCTAAATGGTTTGGCTCAGTAGATAGAGTGACTGACGGTCTGCAGACTGAAGGGTCCCAGGTTTGATGCTAGCCAAGGGCACATGCCTGGGGTGCAGGCTCGATCCCCAGTAGGGGCCGTGCAGGAGCCAGCCAATCAATAATTCTCTCTCACCATTGATGTTTCTCTCTCTTTCCCTCTCTCTTTCTCTGTGAAATCAATAAAAATACATTTAAAACAATATAATAAATAAAATGTTAGTTCATATCTTTTATTCACCCACATTTAATTAGATGTCTTCTGGTTTGTTGAAGCAGTAGGTCAGACATTTACCACAATGATGTCTGTCAACGTGGCTGGCCACAAAAACTCCAGCACACATTCCTGAAGGGCACTCCCAACGAAGGCGACTGATTTGACATTTCTCATCCACCATTTAGAACACATACACACACACACACACACACACACACACACGTATTTTCAGAGAGGAAGGCAGAAGGAGAGGTAGATAAACATCAATGACGAGAGAGAATTATTGATCAACTGCCTTCTGGATGGAGCCTGCAGCCCAGGCATGCCCTGACCAAGAATGGAACCGTGCCTTCCTGGTTCACAGGTCAACGGGCCATCCACCTTTTACAGTACTTCAGGCCAGCAGCTTAACCTTCTTTCTCTCATGCTCATTCTTGAGAGTGATGTAAGAATTCTTCCTTTTCTTCCCACCACCATGGAAAAGAGTGGACTCCTTTGGAATGTTGTAGGCAGACCAAATACATCCACTTCCCGGTTTGCCAGTAAAGACCAATCTCCTGATGAGAAGGAATTCCTTATCCTAGACCTTAGTCTTTACATTTTCTGTTGTATCCTAGGGTTTCACCTTGAGATTGATGGTCTTCTCCATAAGGGTTTTCACGAAAATGTGTATTTTTGCAGTAATTCCACCACAGATGTCATATGGAAAAAAGTCTATTTTTTAAATTACCTTACTAAATAGGTCCATATTTGTACTTTTGTGTTGCTGTGCAAATCTAATCTTGGTACGATTTCTATGTTATATATTAGGGTTCAGCTTCCCCAGAAATAGTTGTCTTTGCCTATATTTTAAACCTTTAATTTTCCCCCAAGTACTTAACTACTTTTCTTTCCTTTTAAAATAAATGTTTGCATTATTGTAAATCTCCTGTATTAGTTGAGAGTAACATGAATTCCATACATAACAGACCATAGTTACTAGTTATTACTTTATCTTTTTTTAAATTCTATTTTTAATGCTGAAAATTTTGCTTTTTTATGGCTCCATTTTCAGTTCATTTGATGAAGTAGTTTATAATCTTTTGAGACTCTGAAATGCTGTCTGCCTGCCCAGTGAGCTGATGGGGGAAGTTGGGGAAAAGCAGTGTTTGCTTTACAGTGGGGATCAAAATACAAAATGTGTGGGACACCTCACTTTCTTTCCGGTTCAGTGAAGTTCAGGGGGAAAGAATTGTTCTGTTCTCCATTATTCAGAGATCTTCTTAGTTTTCTAATCTATTATACTCATTGTCCATTTCTTTGGTAGTTAGCTACTTTTGGGTGATTGTCTGTGAGGCTCTTAACCCTCGTTCAACCCTAAAAGGTTGGCAGCTTTCTTTTCACTTATAGTGTAGCACTGAAGATTCAAACCAATAACCCTTTAATTCTGAAGCCTTTCTATTTGCTACTATACCATTCTGCTTCTCTCCTTCCTTCTTTGCATTCTGAGCTATGCACAATAGATGCCACAGTAGGCATCTATTGTGCATAGCTCAGAACATTTTGTTCAAAATCATAATTCACTCTAAAATATGTGAACTTTTGCCAGTTGAAAAGTTAGAAGAGGTAAAACATTTATTAAAATGCGGAATGAAATTGATCATATTTTTTTCACTTGTAGTATGCAGTGTGTGGGCTGTTCCAACCCTAGGAGGCGGGGCATAGGAGTGGCAGAGGAAAACTGAAAGCTCAAACCTTGATCTTATCCAGTACTTACATTCTTAAAATCCATTTTAAATCTAGTTTTAATAGATCCCTTATGTAAAAATTTCCCCCATCCCAGTAGCTAAATAATGTCTGATCTGGAAGAAATTCTATCCACTTTGCATCTTTATGTCTTTATAAGTAGGTATACAATAGGATTGTCCCTGTCCTTTCCCCTCCATCTGGGCACAGTGGCTCAATTTTACCTTGCAATTGGGCCATATGCCTTCTGGGCATTTTAGGACTGCAAATGTGTTTTATTTCTGTAACCAGGACATTCCTTTAGGGACTACCTAATGTATCCAATACTGTCCTCTTTGGAGAGAGAAGCAGCAGATGATATCTATACCAGGATTAACTTTTCTTCTTAGTTCCTGCATAAATACTTTTCTACCAAGCATGTCAGTGACTGGAATGCAGCTGTAAACATATCCCTGAAGAGATCTAGCCATACCTTTCCCAAGAAAGGGTTTGGTTCCTGATGTGATTGGCAGGTGACTCATGCCTTGTCCCCAGCTAACCACCGGTATTACCACACCCTCAAGTCTTTGCAGGAACTAGTGTTTGACAAGCAGATATTGTGTGCTGATCTTTTCTCTACCTTTAACAGTCATCCTGTCTTGTTAGACTATTGAATACAGTTGTGGATTATATGTGACAAAATTCCTGGCACGTAGTTTCCTTCTTCCCTCCCTCCCTGCTCTGAAAAATCAAATGTGAGCCTTGGTATAGAGCTGGCGGTATTAGGAACTGTACAGGAGGTATGTTATCCTAAGCAGCAGCATGGGGTAAGCAGAAAAAAGCAGGTATGCAGCTATCTTTCTGCTGAAGTTTGGCCCTATCTAGTTCCTTTCAGGTCTAAACTGTTTCAATCACACTAAGTCCAAACTAACTACCTGATCATTTCACTATCGAATTTTTTTCTGGTCAAAAAGATTTTACATTATATCCACCCATCTTCCCTGTATTAAGTTCACATGTTTTTATAGAGTTGAATTATTTGGGATATTTCACTTGGGAAAATTGTTAGCAATCTTTCCCATAAAACATCGTCCAACTCTGGATATGGATCTCCTTATCCATAATCAAGTCAGTTAAATCCCATGTGAAATAACTTCCTGGTGCATTCATACAAACCACCTGTCAGATGGATCTTAAGGAAAACATGCAGCATGAAATGATGTCTTTCCCTTTAAGAAAAACATAATCACTGCTCACTCTATTAGATATTACTATTTTTATTCAGCATATTTATGGGCACAGTAATACACCTTATAGGAATGCTCAAATTAAAAATCTCAATGTACACCATCATGTGTAAGACATAGTGGAACTTGGAGATGCAGAGGACTCTGTCATTTGTTAATAAGATCAAACACCTAGTTGGAGAGAGAGAAATCAGCAACAGATTTATGAGATAACAGATGTCAGGGACTTCTGCTTATTTGTCAAATCAGTTCATAGATAATTAGTCAAATCCCATTGCTCTGAATTGTGTGCTGTGGAGCCTCCCTTTGTGTCTTAGAAAAATAGGTGGCATTTCAGCTCAGATTGTCTAAAACAAGAAACATAATGCTTGATTTTAAAAGACTTCAGGTGGGACTGAGGCTCATCTAATGTGACCTGACTTGACTCTTTTTTTTTTAATGTTGTATTTTATTTATTGACTTAGAGAGATAGAGAGACATTAATATGAGAAAAACACACACATCAATTTAGGTTGCCTACTGCATGTGCTGCAACTGGGCATTGAGCCTGCAATTGGGCTATGTGCTCTGACCAGAAACTGAACCTGTGACCTTTCGGTGCAGGGAACAATGGTCAACTAGCTGAGCGTTAAGGCCAGGGTGACCTCACCTGACTCTTTTTATCAAGGTGGAAAATTTGAAAATCAACATGTATCTGTGATACAGGGAAACCTTTCACAGATAATTTTTTTAAGTAAATATGAGAAATTATAGCTAGTTTTAAAAAAAGCAATTTTTAGTTGAGAAGTACACTGAGTGGCCAGATTATGATCTCTGAATGCATAATAATCTGGTCACTTGGTGTATAAACCTAGATCTAGATCTAGATATATAGGTAGATATAGATATAGATATAGATATTGATATAGATATTGATATAGATATTGATATAGATATAAATATTAGAGACCTGGTGCATGAATTCGTGCATGGGTGGGGTCTGGCCAGCCTGGCCAGGAGGAGTGGACATGGGCAGTTGTCAGCTGCCTTCTGGTTGAAACTCCTGGTTTAAGGGACAATTTGCATATTAACCTTTTATTTTGTAGGATATACACTGAGTGGCCAGATTATTATGCACTCAGAGATAATAATAATCTGGCCACTCTGTGTATATCAAGAAAAGGATAAAGTATGAAACCCATAGATAATCTCTTAAGACTTAGTTTATGAATTAGCCTTTTTTTGAAAATGCTTGAGAAAAGGATTCTTTTTATTCCCTATTATTTTCTGATAGAACAGTTTACAAGCCAAAAATGTGTCAATTCTGTTTAAATTAATACTGTAATTACCATTAGAACAAAATGCTTATGTAGCAGAGATTTCTCAGCAGTTGTCTATAGTCTATATTGGTCAATATTTAATTGTCACTATCTACCTAACTAGAATTCCTGTAGCATTAAACATTCGGAAAATTGTCTTAAAGGTCAATTGTTATAGAATTTGACCTGTAATTTGAGGAGGGTAAAAAGGATCTCAGTTCTTAGGTTTGGGCTGACAGGATGTAGTATTGAGTAACACAGGGAAGAATTAATCATCCTTGGCCAGTGACCACTTTTCTCTTTTTCCTTGTTTTCAGCCCGAGCCTCCGACAACAAACAAATGGCAGCTAGACAACTGGCTGACCAAAGTCAACCAGCCGGCAGCGCCACCAGAGGCCCTGGGGGGTGCGGCGCCCCCACTGCGGCACCCGGACGGGAAGGGCAAGGGCGGTGACGGTGGCACCACTGGCCACGAGCATTCAGAACCCAAAGGTCCTCCCCCGAAAAGCTCCAGCAGAGCGCCCCGGGCCCCTCCCGAAGGCTCCCACACCGGCAAGAGGAGCTGTCAGAAGTCCCCTGCCCAACAGGAGCCGCCCCAGAGGCAAACGGTTGGAACCAAACAACCCAAAAAACCTGTCAAGGCCTCCGCCCCGGCAGACTCGCGGGCCAGCGTGCAGGTGGAGAGTGAGCCGGGCCTTCCCCACAGTGCCAAGGATCAGCCTTCCAAAGACAAGCCCAAGGTGAAGACGAAAGGGAGGCCGCGCGCCGGAGACCGAGAGCCCAAGCCCGCGGCGCCCGCGCCCACGCCCGGCGAGAAGAGGAGGCACCGGGGCGGGCCCCCGGCCCCCGCAAAGGCACTCTCCGGTCCTGAGCCCGCGAAGGACAATGTGGAGGACAGGAGCCCCGAGCACTTGGCCCTCGTCCCCCTGACTCACAGCCAGGGCCCCAAGCACGACAGCAGCAGTGGTGGCAGGACTAGTGGCTGTCGCCGGGCCGTGGTGGTGCAGGAGGACCCTGGGAAGGACAAACTTCAGGTGCCTTTGAGAGACACCAAGCTGCTCTCCCCGCTCAGGGACGCTCCGGCCCTGCAAAGCTTGGTGGTGAAGATAACCCTCGACCTCCTCTCTTGGGTCCCCCAGCCACCTGGGAAGGGGAGCCGCCAAAAGAAACCAGAGGACAAGCAGCCACCGGCAGGGAAGAAGCTGGATTCTGAGAAGAGAAGCTCCGACAACTCAAGCAAGTTGGCCAAAAAGAGAAGGGTGAGTGCGGGGGCCAGGCCTTCCCCTGCAGGGTGGCGGTACCTGCTGTTCTTCGCTGAGGGCTGTCTTTGGCCCATGACTCCTGCCCCGAGCTGTCTAGAAGAGGCGGGAAGCGTTTGTTCAGATTAGATCCAGGCTTTGCTCCTAAGCCAATTACTCCTCCATTGTAGACCTGAGTACTTGCCATTCTGCAGATTGGCATTACCGGGCACCAGAGCCCTTCAGCAGTCTCACTGGTTTGCAAAAAGAGGAGGCAGTCATTGGAAATGATATTTTATTTTAGGATAATGAAGCATTTGGGTATGCTTTTTTATTTATTCTGATAACATTGATATTTACCACTTGGTCCATTCGATTTTACCCTAGAAATTAAAACCTTACATGAATTGCAGTGTTAATTAGTATTCCAAATTCCTGAAAGCACTGCTATACACTGAATTTTGCTCCTGTAGTATAACCTTTTTGATACTGGTATTACAGCCACAGTTTAGCTCATGGCCACATAATACCTCATTAATTTGAACAAGCCAGATTTAGACTCTGTGCCCTCCATTACTAACTTATTAATAAGCAGTGCATTATATTAAAAGGTTTTAGAGCTTAGTAAGTGGTTAGGACATCCCATTGAATAATAATAGGCTGGAATGGTGTCTCGTAAAGTATTAAAAATCTGTCAATTTCATTTTTTATTACAATTTTTGGAAGTTTCACTTAAATAATGACATAGTTTTTTAAAAAGGAAAAAAAGTCTCTGCATTAAGAACCTCAGTTCCATGGACATAACACTATTTTGGACAGTTTCCTTCCTTCCATTATTCTTAACCATTGAGCTCCTGATAGTTGTTTTTTGCAGCTTCTTGGTGATGAAGGTATGATAAATGAGTGTTTCTGTCAGTGGCATTTCCCTGCCAACCTGCCTGATGCTCAGGGGGAAGGGCACTAGGAGAGCCAGCTCTTCCTGCTGAGGAGTCAGATGGTGCACACTCTGTACGCAGAGCTGCCTCCTCAGTTGTGGAAGTTGAGCTAAGAATAACAAAGGACACAGCTACGAGGCAGCCTGCTGTCACGTCTGTGATTCCACCGATTACTTCACTAGTTAAAAATATAACATGACTCTAACAAGTAGTGTCCCCTCAGCCCAGTAGCACGGGTGGCTGTCTTGTCCAGATCCTTGTCAAATGGGACATGAGGGTATTGCCACCATGATTGGAGTGGGCTGAGGTCACGTGGTAATTGGCAGTGCTGTTTCAGCTAGAAGGGGGCATATTTTCGCTCATGTCCAAAATCCACGAAAACGATGTGTGCCAAAGGTGTGGAACCGGATGGAGGAAATTGTGGTGGACTTGGCTAGGAAGAGTACCTGTGTTTAATATATCTGAAAAGACTTCTAAATACACTCATTTACCTCCTCCTCCTCCTGGGAAATCTTTTTATCTCCTGTCCCCTGCCAGGGTCTTGTCTGGTTTCCAGTGTAACTTTCTGCATTAGCTGGAGTGAGAAGCATTGACTTCTAAAATGCTAACTAACTAACAGGTGAACATGTTGGAAGTGGCAGGCTCCCCAGATGTTTTCAGCCCAGTCTGTACTCCATGCAAATCTAAAAGCGCTGCTCGCAGCCCCCAAAGGATCTCGGCTCGGCCTGCTGGCTCTGTGAGCCGTGCCTCCCACAGCCGTGTGCAGGCCTTGGCTGAGCTCCGTGAGGCCAGCTCGTTTGTCATGCTGTTGGGAGGATGGAGAAATATTGACCCTCATCTTAGTCAAGAATGTGCTTCTTTAAAGCCCAGGCCAGCAGTGAGGAGCTCTGCCCAGGAACTGTCTGCCTCTGGTGTGGTGGTGACAGGACCAGGGCCTGAACCGGTGGTTCCAAACCCTGGCTGCTCATTGCAGTCGCCTGGGGAGCTTGTAGGCCTGGTGGCAGGGTGCCCACCCTCAAACCCCTCACCCCCACGGATATTTTTAAATTCTCAGTTAATCCTAACGCCTACGCGTCCGGAACCCCTGAAGCAGAGCCTTCCTTCAGGGCCAACATTGTACAAAGCTGGTTCTTTCGGTGGAGAAATCCCTCCATGTGCTTTGCTTAGATGTCATGGATCTAGACAACCAGAAATCCTTGCTTTAAGTGTGTCACCAGTTAAATATATAGAAGCTTTTGGATAAATACATACAAAAATCAGCTCACCGTATACTGATTTCAGGATCAGAGAATCGTGTGCCACTTGGTTTTGCTTCCTGCTGGGTTCCAGGTACGATTAATATTGCGCATTAAGCTCAGGTCCTTCCCCTGTGTGGGCCGGGCTCCCTCTGTCCTGTCAGGATCCCGACTCTTCGGTCAGAGCATCGGCTGCCCCCGTGGGCCTGGGCCCCGTGGAGAGGCAGGGCTGTCCTCTCTAAGCTTGGGTGCTTTTTCGCAAATTTGGGTGTTGGAGACTTTTTCGTGTTCTTCATTGTAAGTGCAATCACTAGACAAAGCTCTCTGAGGATGTAGTGAGAGCAGTGGGGCAGTGTGACTGATCGTTCACGTTTGTGGAATTTAGTGTTTTTATTTAAAGGCCCTTTAGGGTCTATTCCTCTCCTGGTGCAAAATTTAGGAGATCTTTTTCAGAGGGTAAGCAGACCCTTGAAGCCATTTTATTTTATTTTATTTTATTATTTTATTTTATTATTTAAAAAATATATATATTTTACCGGTACTGATTTTTCACAGAGAGGAAGGGAGAAGTATAGAGAGCTAGAAACATCAATGAGAAAGAAGCATCAATCAGCTGCCTCCTAAATTCCTTCTCCCCCTCTCCCCCTACCCCAGGGGTGTGCCCTCAACGAAGGTACATGTCCTTGACTGGAATTGAACCCTGGACCCCTCAAGTCCACAGGCCGATGCTCTATCCACTGAGCCAAACCAGTTTCGGCTTGAAGCCATTTTAGACTTAAAAGTTAAGTCTAAAAGTTAATCAGAATTGCTGATGTTTAACAGCTGTGATGAAGCCATTAGGTGTGGCACCTATACATGTGTGCTCATGGTTCTGGATATGTAATGTTACTCCCTTAAAGAAGCAGGTAGGATACAATTCATGAGGAAAAGTGTGGGAATTTGTGAGGGTTAATAGGCATGAACACAGTGCTTTCTACATAAACTGCAGAAGTTTATCATCTGCGTACCGTTTAAAATTTAAAAAATACAATCTGTTTTTTTTTGGTTTAAATAATTTTTAAACCAAAGTTATGTTATTCCAGGTTTGGAAGGAAAATTGAAGTTGAGAAGCACAATATATCAATAATACACAATCAGGCCAGTGCCATTGACAGTATCTAAAAATGTATGAGCATTCATGGAGCTCCCTGTGTGAGCTAGAGCTTGTTCTGACACTTTGTAGCTAACTAAGTGCACAAAATTCATTTGGGCGGGGGGGGGGGGGGGGGGGGAGGGGTAGTGGTGGAAGAGGGCAGTGTCCCCTCAGCCCAGCTTGCACCCTCTCCAATCCGGGACAACCCGAGGGATGTCCCACTGCTGATTTAGGCCTGATCCCCCTAAACTGGCAGTCAGACATCCCTCTCACAATCTGGGACCACTGGCTCCTAACTGCTCACCTGCCTGCCTGATCACCCCTAATTGCTCCCCCTGCTAGCCTGATCACTCCCAACCACCTCTGCCTGCCAGCCTTATCACCCCCTAACTAACTCTCCTCTCCCCCACCCGCCTGCCTGGTCATCCCCACTTATTTCCCTCCCTGCCGGCCTGGTCATCCCCACTTATTTCCCCCCCTGCCGGCCTGGTCATCCCACACAGCTTGCTGTTCAGTTATTTGGTCATCCCTCACGAAACCCCCTGCTGGCCTTGTTGCCACACGCAGCCTGCTATTTGGTTGTTACTGTGACAGCGTCCCGGACAATTTGCATATTCCTCTATTATTAGTATAGTCAGGGGTGTCGAACTCAATCAGAGAAGGGGCCAAAATCTAAAATCCAGCCTAAATCGAGGGCTGAATGGTTTACTGAACAGTCATAAACTGACAATGTTAACCAGAAATGTGAATTTAAAATGAGTGGAACAATCTTTTCCTTAACAGTGCTGTTAACCAACTCACATGCTATCAAGCAAAACAGTAATATTGGTATCAAGCAAAACAGTAATATTGGAATGTACCTAAAATGCTCATTGTTTTGTTTTCTGGCTAGATGTCTGACACCGTTTTCCCCGGATCAATGAGTCAATGTTCGGTTTTATTTCTTGGGCTGTAGCAACCCGCAAAACAGCATGGAGGTTGTCATCGGTAATGCGTGATCTGTGCTTGTTTTTGTTCAGATTCATTATTGAAAACATCTGTTCACAAAGATAGGTGCTCCCGAACATGGCTAGAATTCGGGCAGCATGAAGTCGGAGCATTGAGTCAGGGGGCAGTAGAGGGTAGAAGTCCTCAATTTCAACATCCTGAAACCTTGATTTCAGGCCACTGTCAGACTGAAGCTCGATTATCTCCATCTGAAGGTGATGGGGCACATTGTTGACATCAACTGTAAAAGGATTGGCAAAGATGTCAAAGCCTGAGTGCTGTGTTCTAAAGTCAGAGAAGCGCCGCTCAAATTCTCTTAGTAAACGGCTAACTTTGGTAGCCAGCCGACTGCAAGGAAAAGTACCAGAAATAGTGGTTGAGATACTCAAACAAACGGGAAAGTGGGCAAGATTGTCCTGTTCCAGTTGGGACTTCCATAGTTGAAGTTTACGCTGGAATGCTGTGATCATGTCAGACATCTTCGTGATGACTTGTTTGCGTCCCTGCAGCTTCAGATTCAGTTGGGCGAGATGCTCGCATATGTCACACATCATAGCAAAATCACATAGCCAGGTGGGATCTGACAGTTCAGGCAAGGGCTTTCCTTTACTTTACATGAAAAGAGCAATTTGTTCTCTGAGCTCAAAAAATCTTTTGAGGACTGCGCTCTTGCTCAGCCATCTTACTTCTGTGTGGTATGGCACGTCTCCATGCTCTGCACCCACCTCCTGA